CGGAAAAAAGGTTGTAGGAGGATTGGGTTTAGGGTTTAGGGTTTAGGGTTTAGGGTTTAGGTTTGGGTTTCGGGTCTAAGGGTTTTTGATTTAGGGCCACTCCAGTGTCCGCATGTTAGTTGTAGCTCACATCCTGAACCCTCAACCCCGCTAAACCCCAAACCCTCAAACCGTATACATCCTAAACCCTAAAACCCCTCAAACCTACAACCCTACAACTCTAAACGCCCTTGAAGAAAAAGACCCCAAACCCTAAACCCTCAAACCTGAAGCCCTACAACTCTAAACCCCCTTGAAGAAAAAGACCCTCCACGCTAAAACCCTACAGCTCTAAACCCCCTGAAAACAAGACCCTCAACCCCAAAACCCTACAGCTGTAAACGCCCTTGAAAACAAAGACGCTCAACCCTAGGCCCTGCCTTAACCCTGAATAACCTAATATTTTAGGGATCCTTATTATTATTTCCTTATATAAGGCCTCAAAAAGATAGGCTTTTTCCGGGTTAAGGTCGAGCCTGACTCCAAAACCCTAAATCCTAGAAACCCTAAACCCCTGGGGCCCTGAAGCCTAAACCCTAAACCCAAAACCCTGAACCCAAAACCCTAAAACCAAGACCCTCAACCCCAAACCCTGCTTGGAGGGTCATGGGACTTAGTAAGTAGGTAGTAAGTATACTTATAAGTACCCTAAAAGGGACCCTAATTGGGGTTATGGTACCAAAAACAACCAGTTACTATCTCCCCCGACCCTCCAAGTGAAGCCCTGACTCGATTCCCGGCGCCCGGCCTGGCTCAGCTATTCCGGCGCGAGGCTCCTGCGACCGCTCCAGAACAATGCAAAGGGTTTTTAGGGTTTGCGGCGAAGTTCACGGGTTTAGGGGTTAGGGGCTGGTGTAGGGTTTAGGGGTTTCGGGGTTAGGGTTTACGGGTTTAAGGGTTTAGGGCTTACAGTTTTGGGCGGTTTAGGCAAGCAGTCAGCGGTTTAGGGTTGAGTTTGGGTCGAGGCTTTGGGACTCTCGGGTCTCGGATTATAGGGTTTAGGGTACTTAGGGTACTTAGGGTAATTAGGGTAATTAGGGTGATTAGGGTAATCGTAATTAGGGTAATTAGGGTAATTAGGGTTTAGGGTTTAGAAAAAGTGTAGGGCCGAAGGGTTTCAAGTTTTGACGTCGGTTTAGAGCAAAACTAGAGCCCCCCCCCCAAAAAAAAAACTCAGAGTGTCTTGACGTTTTGCAGAACTCTGCGCTGCGATTTAGGATAAAGTCGCGAACCAGAAGACCCCCAGCAATTCAAATGCATTCACGAAAAGATGTTGTTGCTGACTTTCCCCAAACACCAGAAAAGACAGCTGTTCATTTCCACAACAAGACCCCCCAAGCATACTTTAATAGAGTCCTTGTTATGACCCCATAGTGGGTGACGCTTAACCCTTAACCCTATGACAGAAAAGCTTGACACTTATAGGGTGGGTTCATGGAAGGTTTATATGAGGAGTCTTAAACGGGTTTATGCATTCTTCAGGTCTTCTTTCTGTCATCGCCAAAATAAACAAAGCTTAGTCAGGGCTAGGTATGAAAACCTCAAAATCCTCGACCGACCACCGGTCGGTCCACCTCGGGATAGGGCCGTCGCGTGTCGCGGAGAGACGTCTCCTCTTTGCAGCATGTCCAGACACGAATGTTATGTCTTGCAGTTTGGGGCTTGGGGTGTAAGGTGTGTTGTTGGATGATTTATGGGTCTCTTCGTTGGGTGCATAATTACAGGGTCCTGCAATTCCCCAAAGGCGAGTTTAAGTCCTCTGCTCTAGTTATCAAATCCTCTACGTATGTACTATGTAGATACATGGTCGAAACCTTTCATCCGAGACCGCGCCAGAGCCGGAAACCGTAAGACCTTACGCGGCCATGGCTCCTTCGACACCACTTCAACCCCAAACCCTACATCCGAAACCCCTAAACCCCAAACCCTAAACCCTTAAAGGCCTATGGGACTTCGTAAGTAAAGTCATAAGCAAGGTATTGTAGTTAGGATATCCCCACTTCATCTTAGGGAACTTGAAATCCCAGCTATAACCCTGGACACTCACTCCTCCAAACCCTTGAGCACTGCATCATCGAGGAACGCCAGGCGTCGATTCCCACAGACTCTTTGGGTTAAGGATTTTTTTTTTTTTTTTTTTGGGGGGGGGGAGGGGGGTTCGGGGTTTGGGGGTTGACGGTTCAGTTTGCAAGTTGGCCCTTTTGCTTCTCCCGTCTTCCAGCCAAAGCCACCGAAAAACCTTTCTAGGAGCCCTCATAACAGGAACTCACAAACCCCCAGACCCCCAAACTGAAACCGCTGTTTAAACCCCAAACCCTACCAAACCGTAAGCCCTAAACCCCTGAGTACTAAACCTAAACCAGATCGCCTGGTCCTGATTGATGGAGGAGTAGGAGGACAACCTGGGTACTAGAATGGTTCAGGGTTCTGGGGTTCTGGGTTTAGGGCTTTAGCCTTTAAGGGAATAAATATATACGGTTCTACTATGGAGTCCCCTTTAGAGGGTACTATACGGTTCTATAATAGGTTGGGTTTAGGCTTTGGGTTGAGGGTTTAGGGGTTCAGCGCTCGCGTCGAAGAATCCAAGTGCCTTGGGCTTAGTTTGGCACTGAACAGTAAAAAAAGTCAATGACTACTAGACCGCGAAACCGTATTCCAAATGGCAAGGCCTTACACCAAACCCCCTAAAACCTGACAAATCCTTCATAGGAGACTCTAAACCCCTAAACCCTAAAATCCTGAACACTAAACCTTAGCCCTAAACCCTAAACCTCCAAACTGTTCGCTTTATTGAGGCCCCCATGTTCGCAGCGGCTGGTCAAGATACAGCTTATGGGAATTGCAGCTTGCAGTGTAGCCATCCGGATGTAGAATTTGCGGCTTCGGGTTTAGGATTTCTGGAAAGGTTCCTTTAAGGGTTCCTCGAAGGGTCCATATTGGTACTGGAAGGGTTTAGGGTTCTATGGTTCCGGGTTTAAGGCTTTAGTCCTCAAGGGGAACAAATATGAAGGGTTGTATTATGGGGCCCCCATGTAGAAGGTACTATACGGTTCTGTAATCGGCCCCCCGGTATGGGTTCCTCCTTTCTTAAGGACCTTGCTGTATCATCTTCGAATGAGGATGAGGGGAGATGCTAAATCCTGAACCGTAAACTCCTAGACCCTAACCCCGAAGTGTGAGACGAACTCTGAAAGCCGTAAGTATTCAAATTAGTACTATAAATTACCAGGTGGACTAAGGCCGCAATGTCCACATCCTGATCCTTTAGGACACGGACAGGTTTAGGACGCACCCGGAGCATGTGCCTACAGCCTACGCCACCCTTTCAAAGGTCAGCAACAAATTTGTTCATGGAGGTCCCTGCCAATGACCAAAACCAAACAAGAAGGTAAAGAAATGTAACCAAGAGGCTTGTGCTATAGGATCCTTGATGTTTTGGGGTATGCTATACTAACAACTTGTATGCGGCCACACCTCACTAATAGCGGGCAGAAACAAAAGCACAACATGAAGCACCAGGAAGACTGCTGAAATAAAGAATCGGTGTGATCATACTTGCATAAATACAGACAACACGAGACTGAAACAACAAGTATACTAGTACGCTGTGACTTGCAAGCCCACTCGTATACCCCTACATCTGGAATTGCTTATGCTCCTACAGTAGCCTACTGTGGAACTCGCAAGACTCACAAATAGGAACAGTGGCGGGCCCATGTTGTAGACACTGTCCAAAGAGCTTCCGACCAAACCATCCTGCACGCAGATTGCGAGTGCTCACATGGAGCCCTGAATGATCAGAATAAGGTGTGTTTAGTTTAACGTCCATGCAAGCCTACCGAAAAACTTGGGCATTGATTGCGGCCTTCTGGCATGAGGCTTCTGGTGCTATCTGTATTTCGAGCTGGTCTCTTCATAGCGCTTTGTATGATTTCGGATTACACCTTGACACTCTTGTGTATATGGGTGTTGAGTACAGTGGTTCGACAAGGGAGCGCCAAAACTCTTGTGAGTGTCTTGTATGTTTTGTCTAGCAACTTAATAAGTCAATATTCTCAGGAACGAGAGGTAGCGAAAATACTCTCCAGAATGACAGGGTAAAGTGGCTTAGGATTAAAGTAATTACTGCCTTTGAGATTCGAGTTTTGAGGCTTATGTCCAAGCCCTGACGTCCTAGCAAAGATTCCTTGCAGAACCCATGCAGAAATCCAAGTCCCTTCTTAAATCCTCTGAACCCCTGGTATTAAACTTCCAGAGCCTACATGTATAGTAAGCCCTGAAAACAAGAGATCAACGTTTGCGTCTTTCATCGAAGCGTTGGAAACCCTAAACCAATTCCAAACCCTAAACCCCATAATGATCCCTTCAGCGAGCCTGAAACAAACCTTTAAAGAACCCAAGTGCTCCCGAAACCCTAAAATCTAAGCCTTAAGCCATATATAGGCCCGCTTCGAACCGAGCCTTACTTAAAAGAACCCTTAAAGCACCGGCCCCTTATAGTAGCCCTTGTAGACACTGTCAACGGAACCGTAAGGAATACTAAGACCCCGATATTAACCCGAGCCCGAAGAGGAACCCTTAGATCCCTTACAGGAACCCTCAAAGGAACCCTTAAAGGCTTATAGATCCCTTAAGGAACCCTTAAAGGATCCCTTAATAGGCACGCGCCTTCCAGGGCCTCGCTGTGCTTTGGGCGCGGCCAAACCTTCGACTAGGCTTATCTAGAAAAGCCCTTGGGGTTTAGGGTTTAAATGAAAAGGCAGGGCTTAGGGTTTTGGTGTTTAAGCGTTTTAGGGTTTAGGGGTTGTTCTTCGGGCCTCCTTGAGTCCATGTGCGAACGCGGGCGAACAAAAGCAGGCTCAGAACATGTCGCTATGACAGAGGTGAACATAAGTAAAGAGGGTTTTCAAGGAAGACAGGAGGGAACTCGGAGTCAGGAGATAGATGCGACTGTACCAGCATCACTCCCTCCTCATAGGCTTCCCACCGTCGTCAATCTCCCGCTCACCAGCCTGTGCCACCGCCGGCTCGCGGTCCTTAGCCTTTGGAGCTTTCCGAGTGGCCTCCTTCTCGCCTGCCTTCGCCTCGCCTTGACCAGCAATCAGCTCACGTGCACCCTCCACTGCAGTATAGCCGCTGACCTGCTGAAGGCCATTTGGGCGTGCGGTCCTGTCCACTATATCCGTTGCCAATTTCACGAAATTCCTCGATCCTGCTGGCTTCAGTGACATGAGGGCTTTCAGCCCAGGAGACCACGCACGTGGCATAGCCTCTGCTGTGATCATTCTGCTGGATTCCAGCGCGCAGGATAATCTGGTTGGTCGAGCTATTGCCACTCTGATACTTATTGACACCCTCACATTCGTACCGAATCCACTGCCACCCGTCGCTCTCTTGCTCCTGCTGGCCTTGAGCAATCTTTCCGAGGATCGGCACAGCGGCAATGGAATAGCATGGCTGCGTGGGCTTGACCGGGGGGTCCCAGCTCACGGGCGGCGTCGGCATCTTGGGTTCGGCATGGCCAGTTGCAATGGGTGTTTTGAAAACCGGCGCTTTAGAGCTAAGGGCTTCGCTTCTGAAGGGCCTTGATACTTCCAAAGGTTTGAAGGTCATGCTCTAGTTAGTGCAGCGAATGTGAGTGGGGCTTAAGGATAGGGCCCGAGTTGCCCGAGTGTTCTTTAGAGTTATTGGAAAGGTGCGACAGGGGCTCTATTAGGTGTTCATGGGTTAAGTTTAGGGTTGGCGGTAAAGTATCAGCTGATGTCTGGATCATCTTTCCCTGTGCAAGTCACTGCAAAAAACACATCTCTCTGCCCTACTGAAAGGGTCATGGGATTTGGTAAGTAAGGGTTTAAGTAAGGTAACCCCCAAAAAAAGGATTTATGACCCAAACACAACCCACTGAGTCCCCTGAGCACATGGTTAGTGGCCTGATTTCTACATGGGAATTTCCGAACATAGGGGGCCCTTATTATACAACACCCGAAATAGTAGGATCCTCATTATAATAGGAATCCCAAAATAAGGTCTCTAAGTTACTAAACCCTGAACCCTAAAGAAAATAGGGGACCCCAAAATAAGGTCCCTAAATACTGAACCCTAAACCTCAGAGAAAACAGGGGACCCCAAAGTAAGGTAACCCCTTAATTTTTGGAAATCCCCCACATCCCAACCGACAGCAATGATGCTAGGACCCCAGAAAAGCACATAAGCAGAAATAGGATAGGGATATCCCATATAAACCCCCTTATAATGAAGCCCATTAAGGTAGGGATATCCTGATAAAATGCTTTTGGCCCCCGAGATGCGAAGAACGAGCTCACGCCAGACCAGAGTCCCGCACCCTTTAATCAAAGGGGAAAAGGAGGGACCCTTAATGGGGACCCCTACTCTATAATGGGCTATATAATGGGTATATCATGACTATATTAAGGGGATATACCTAGGGGTCCTTATTAAGGATCCCTCCTTTTACCCTTGGATTTAGGGTTCAGTGCCTTTAGGGCTTACCTTAACGGTTTAGGGTTGGGGGTTTAGGGTTTAGAGGGTTACCTGAACGGTTTAGGGTTGGGGGCTTTAGGGTCTAGGGCTTACCTTTACGGGTTTAGGTTGTGGGTTTTAGGGTGTAAGGTTTACCTTTACCCCAAGTAGCCTCGACCTTTCAATTATCATGAAACGAATGAATTCATGCATATTGCGGGACCCCCCTCCCAAAAACAGTAGGTTCTATAGAGTTCAGGTAGGGTTTCCGATTGAGGATTTAGGCTGCCGGGCTAAGGCAGTCTTACACATGTCTTCCATCATCGATTCAAGCGTAAACTCCCAGATCGAAGCCCTGAACCCTCAACGCACACCCCTCAGCCCTGAACGACACAGGCATCATGCCTTAACTGTTGATGATATAAATCCTGCATGACCCATAATAAGGAATATACCATAATTTTTATACGGTTGATGGTATAAATCCTGCATGACCCATAATAAGGAATATACCATAATTCCCACAATTTAGGGTCCTTAAGGTAATGCAGGATTTAATATCATCAACCGATTACGGAGCCCTTAGAGACCCTACAATTCGAGGCCGTGTACCCGAGGTTTATATAAACCTCTACAGGTTGAAGAATTCTTACTCAGCTAACGAGGAGCCCCGTATAAAACCTCTATAGATGCCTTAAAGGAACCCCTTATAGTACCTTAGGCTACCAAGTAAACTTAACCCTAAATCCTCAAGCAGCAGCAAGCTTCCGCGAACAGCACGCAGCCCACGAACCCAAAGATGGGAGTTACCGAAAATAGGGGACCCCAACATAGTATCCTAAATATTCGGATCCTGATTATACGGGCCCCACAATACGGTACCCTACTTTTCGGAAACACCCATATAGGAGCCCTACTGCAATTATAATGTTCAGGAGCCCAATAAGGCACAAGCTCATTAGCGCCGGGTTTTGGGGTTCAGTTCTAGCGTGAATTTTACTCAGGATCGACCCTAAAAGTAACAATGCTTGCTCACCGAGGTCTGCAGCAGGCACCAACGTGCTGGTGTCTGGAGCGTGAATGTGCTTTACAGGGCAGGAGCTACTGTCCACCATGGATGATAGTTGTGGCGCCACCTCTGACGCTGGCGGCATGTCCAAGAATGTAGCAGCCTGTCCCCATCCTAGGACTAAATACAATGTATTCAGATCTTCTTCAGTCTCAAACACCCTTACAACTATTTGCTTAAGAGCCCCCAAAAAATAAAAAATATATTCCTTATGGGGGTAATATAGGGATTATTATTTTTATTTTTTTGGGGTTTCTTAAGCAAATAGTAGTAGCACCCAGCACCCTGCACCCTAAACCAAGCCAGCGCCTCTCTGTCCACGTCGCATCGTCGCTCCAATCCTCCTCCTCTGCTCGTGCCTTAAGGCGAACTTGCAATCATCCAAGTGGGTTTTTGTCAAAATTCGTGGTCCCTTCTTGGGAACCAAACATATGAGGTGCCGTTTTTTATTACTTGGAGGTTCATGGGTAGTTACAAGTGGGGTTACAAGTAGGGTAACTATACTTATAACTCGTATTAGGGGGCTTATAACCCCACTTATAACTACCCTAAACCCTAACCTCTATAGAACCCTTAAAGGAACCCTATAACCCTACTTATAACTACCCATGAACCTTGAAGTAAGGACTTTTGACAACCACCCAAATAAACGCACACTGTGAGATTTAGACTGGGCCATTCTGCTGCAGATAGCCATGGAGGCCGGACATTAAACTTCATATGGGTGGTTGTCAAAATTATGGTCCCTTTTGGGGTACCCGAAATAGTAGGTGCCGTATTATAATAAGGACCCAAAAGGGGACCATAATTTTGACAACCACCCATATCTCCCATGCAGGACCCAGGGGGCAGGACAGTATGACTACAGACGCCTCGACGAAGGATGTGATGTCAGCGATGACGGTTGAGATGAGGATGACGGTGACAATGCGCATGAGCTTCATGCTGCTACTGATGGTGATGAAAAGAAGACGATGTCCATGCTGACGGTAAGGTTGCTAGACTTGGAGCTCAGTGCTGTATGGGCTCGTGCACTTCGGCCGTCGGCTGTCTGGCCGCGCACCCCCCCACAACTCTTAGTCTATGGCCCATTTGCAAGTCTAAGCCTTACGGGTATCCACGAACGGTTCTTGCGGATAGGAGTGATTTACTCTGCACGCTATCAATCTCAACGCCACAGCATAGGCCCCTCAATAATTAGAATAGGGCTGCGGGGCAAATTAAGCCATGAGCATTAAAAGGAACCAACAAGGGGATACTTGTATTGAACGAACACTCCGATCCCCATATCACATGATTCCCGAATCCTAAACAACTGCATCCCGATTCCAAAGCTTGCAGACAGTGCAAGAATCAACCCCCTCTAAACCCCAAGCTCGAAACCCTGACATAAACCCTAAATAAACTCTGAATAAACCCTATATAAACCCTATATAAACCCTATATAAACCCAAACTCGAAACCCTAGACCCGAAACCACGAGCACTCCAACCCTCGAAGACGATGTCCCTGAGACCCTAGAGACTTTAAGAGTGCTTCTGCAACTCTAAGCCTCTACCCTAAGGCCCCAAAGTAGTTCCTTTTTGGGGGTTCGTATTTAGAATCCGATAAGGTAATCCCAAAAAGGAACTACTTTGGGGCCTATGGGTAAGCCTCTAAGCCCTAAGCCCAACCAAAACCTTAATCCTGGCCGGATGCTACGTTTCCACTCGGAACCTGCACACATCTCAGCTTGCTGTGAGTGAGGCAGTTTCTGCTAGTGATCTTAGTGTGACGAGCTAAACCCTAAACCCTAAACCTCTAAACCCTAAACCCCTCAACCCTAAAACCTTAATTACACCCAGAAAACCTTAACCCACTGAACCCTATGGAGCGCACCAAAAGAGAGCTTCAGCCGATCTTCAAGAGCTTTTGAGGCCCGCCATCTCCTTGACTTGGCACCTAAAAGGAGGAAAGGTCGGATCCAGCAGGGATTAATAATTTTACTCTATACTAACTCTAGACCACCCTTAGAACCATAATACAAACAATGCTTTAATGTTCGAACAGACTAGAGAGGTCAGCCCCCTCCCAATGCTTCTCGATCAAGATGCGGTCTTGTCGAACTGTGAGCCAGGTTTTCATACTTCTGGAGGTACATGGCGGCAAGGTTCCTCTGAAAGTTCGTGAACGCCACTGGTAAACCGGGCGGCGATAGAACTCCAAGTCCTTCCAACTCCACAGGAGCAAAGACATTGAGAAGACCAGATATGGAGTCTCGCTGAGTTTCGAACTCATACGGCCAAGCCGCTGGACGGGGCAGCATCCGCTGTTTTTCAGGGTGCCTTTGTCCAGTGGGAGCAAGGTTCTCCCTCTTGTGAGCCCCTAAGCACGCGACTCCTGCAACTCTGAAACCCCAAACCCTAAAAGCAAACCCAAAACCCTGAAATCCTAAATTCCAAAATACCCTGAAGCCCCAAGCAGAAGCCACTTACTAAGCCGACAGTCCTTCTAAACCCTAAAACCTAAACCCTGAACCCTAAACCCTAAACCCTGAACCCTAAACCGTGCCTTCCTGAATAAGGCAGGGCTTCTGGGTATGTCGTACAGGAAACCATAAGCGATCTGTCTGTTCTTTGTCAGGCAACCTCCAACAAGGCAACCCTTAAACTCCTTAAACCCTAAACCCGCACCCCACCCTCGAACCTAAACTCTGAACCGATCGTTCAAATTCATGGTTGGGCTTAAATACCCATGAAAGTGCAAAATGCTACAGAACGATGACAAAGGAAACCCTAAACCCCTAAACCCTTAAACACCAAACCCTAAACCCCTAAACCCCTAAACCCTAATTAAACCCTAAACCCGTAAACCCCTAAACCCTTAACCAGACCCCTTATGGATCCCGTTAAAGGATGCCTTTGCCTAGACCCCAAAAGTATGTAGAGTAATGGCCATTTATAGGTTTCGGGCCATT